AGAGGTTTTTATGTATATGATGACATCTATCCTAAAAGAAATTTATTACTTCATTCTGAATTTGGATGAATTTTTTTCTTTTTGTTTTCAGGTAATTTTTGCTAGTACATGTAGTAACGTTTGGAATAGGAGTGGTGAGAGTGATCTTCCTTTTCTGCAGTCAGGGTTTTCCCAGCAGCCTCTGATGATCACTGGCCCCTCAGCTGAGCGCCAGCTATGGTAAGCAGGTTCTGGAGGCAGAGTCTTTCACAGGGGAGGGCAGTCTGAGAACTTCGGAGTTCCAGCTTATAGTTCCTATGACTTCTCCCCACAGAAGCACTGCTTCTCCAGACTCTGGTTGTTCCTCAGAAGTTGTGGTAATTTTATAATATTTTTTGGTTTGTATCTGAAGGGGAACTGGAGCTATAGCACAGCAGGTAGTGCATTTGCCTTGCATGCGGCCGACACGGGTTCTATTCCTCTGTCCCTCTTGGAGAGCCTGCCAAGCTACCGAGAGTATAGCGCCCACACAGCAAAGCCTGGCAAGCTCCCCATGGTGTATTCAATATGCCAAAAATGGTAACAACGAGTCTCACAATGGAGACGTTACTGGTTCCTGCCCAAGCAAATTGATGAACAACGGGAGGGCAGTGCACAGTGTACAGTATCTGAAGGGAGGTAGCCTGTGTCTTTATTCTACCACCCATGTCTGCTGAGATGCCTATTCTCTCTGGGTGATGTTTAATACTTCTATAACTTTAATTGCTATCTGTTTGCTCAGGGTTCCTATGTTTCTATGACCTACATCTTTATTTTGTGGATTATTAACATACAATTGATTATTGTCCATTAGTACCTAAGTGTATAATCTCCAGGTGGCTAGAGGGAGAGCCCCGGCGGCTCATCCTCTTGCCACCTGGTTCAGTGGTCCTGGGCAGCTCCCCCACCTGGGGCTGCCCAGGTCATGGGGTGGACGAAGGAGGAAATGAGGGCCAAGCCAATTGATGATCAGTTGCTTTTTATTCCATTCTCCCCATGAAGTAGTTCCAGTCTCACTAAGCTCCCTATTCCAGTCTCACATGGCCCCTCATTCTTGTCTCCTCCTGTCTCTCCCGTGCTCCTTCTTGCAGCCTGGGCTCTCTCTCTCCATGTGCCTGCTACCACATTCTTCTACATTCTTCTCCCTCTGTTCCCCTTGCTAGTCTCTCCGTGCTCCATCTTGCTGTCCTGATCTCTCTCTCTCTCTCATCTCTCTCCAATGTTCTTCTCTTAAACTCCTCAGCACTGGGGGTAGACGCTACACCCAGTCAGGTAGTAAAATCAACATAAGAAAGTTCTTCCTTTGCTCACAGGCAAAATACCACTTAAGGTCTTGTTTTCCTCCTTTCCTCAGTCCAATAACTTAATTAACATCCTAATTATACTTCTTAATATTAGTTATTTTGTATGGACACAGTAAGAGATAAATTGAGGCTTGTAGGGCGACTCCCCGGGGACATCTCACCATAGACTCAGACCTCAGTGCTCAAGCCAGATTAATCTTTCCTAACCCTAGCAGGGGGCTGGAGCGATAGCACAGCGGTAGGACGTTTGCCTTGCAAGCAGCCAACATGGCTGACCCGAGTTCGATTCCTCTGCCCCTCTCGGAGAGCCCGGCAAGCTGCTGAGAGTATCTTGCCCGCATGGCAGAGCCTGGCAAGCTACTTATGATGTATTCGATATGCCAAACACAGTAACAACAATGTCTCCAATGGAGATGTTACTGGGCCCCCTCGAGCAAATTGATGAATAACGGGAGGACAGAGACAGTGACAACCCTAGCAGGGTCCAAATCTGGTTATTGCTTTTTGGATCATGACAGAATTTGTCCATGACCATGCTCTTAACTTATAGTTAAGCATTATGGCACTTTGGTCAGGCCCATTTTGATCCCAGGGTAGTACATAGCTCACAGCTTGCCCCGGGTCCATCCAGTCCCTTGTCGGGATCCTGCTTTTGGAGTGCTAGGAAGTAAGGGCAACTGAGGCTTAAGTCGAGAGAACAGATGTCCAGGAGGAAAATATCAATGAGTGTCAATTAACTCTCATGTTATGAAAGCATAGCATTAACTGTATTCTTGTGTCCATACAAAAAGGACATTGCTCTGAATTAACTAAGCAAAGGACTTAAGGAGAAGGGAAAAACAATATTTACAAGTCAACAGAGAACAAAGAAAGAGGTTACAAACAAACACTGAGGAATGCGAGCACTGTGATGGGAGTAACCCAATAAAGATAAGCTCCCTGTAATAAGGCGGAAAGGACAAACCTCTGTTATCTAAACACAAGTGTCATTGCACATATGAAAAGACATTCCTCTTCTCTTTGTTTCATTAATCAATTAATCTAAGCTAGAAGCTGAGTATCATGCATGATTTTGTTTTTTGAATCTGCATCCTACCACATGCTAATTTGTTCTTAACTTTTCAATGTTTATTCAACCACTGCCAATCTCTTAGTGTTAGTCTGGGTTCCCCACAGACATTGAGGTGAGTATTCATATGAAAGTGATTAATATGGAGAAGGCAGAAGAAAGGATGTAGTCCCAATCGAAGTCTGGCTTTGGTCTAGATTCTTTCTAATTCTGGAATATACATTGGATTGCAAACTGGTTGTCTTGAAACAAGCGACCAGCCTTTGTACCCCAATTCCAGTCACCCAGTGGCCAATGGAAGCTGTTGGAGGTTAGAACTGTGATGTGTTGGTACCTAAGACCTACAGCAGCATGGAGTCTGACTTTACCGAGCTAGCGAGAAGAGTTTAAACTTGGATACAGTAGTCTTTGCTGCGCTGTGCCTCCTCACTGCTGGTATCAGAATTCACGATCCCATCATTTCATCACCAAATTAGTACAACAGACTCCCAATTTGCTCTCGTGCTGCTTGTCTTGTTCTTTTCAATTTGTAGCTTTCTTGGGATATGATTTGAAAGTCTACCTAATATGGTTTCTAATTTGTAAATTTATATATGTTTGACCTGTGTCCTATGTTGTGGTGTATTCTGGAGGCATTCTATGTACACTAGAGAAGCATCTGGCTTGTTGAGAATGGTGGCCCTGCATATGTCAATTGATCTCCATTCTTCTAAATCCTCACTTAGGGTTCTGGTATCCTTTTATTCCTTGAAGTTTCTTATATTCATTAATCATTGTAAAACCCCAAACAATACGTCAGCATGATTTCATGCATTTAGAGGGGAAATATTTTCTTGTGAGTGGGAAAACTATGCAGATGAATTCCGGAAGAGTTTTACAGTGAAACATTTTCTGTCCTGGCCTTCTTTCTTCAGTTTGTTTTAATCTGTGTTCACTGTGAATATATATATTTAAAGCCATGCCTCATGGTTCTCAGGACTTACTCCTGGCTCTGTACTCAAGGGTCACTCCTGGTGGGCTTATGGACCATGTGGGGTGCTGGGGATTGAACTCAGATCAGGTGTGTGAAAAGCGAGCACCTCACCCGCTGTACTATATATCTAGTCCCTCACAGTAAAGAATTTGTGTTGATCATATACATCCAGTTTGTTCTAGAGTTCTGGCTTATTCTCTCTGTCCCAACTGGCATCAGTATTGAACAAAGCCAGGCAGGTGATAAACAACACTGCACTACTACATCCAGCTCCAATAAAGACAAAAAGGAGGACAGAGAGGAGGAGATGAATTGTTACTTTCCTAAAGGATACAGGCAGATGACCAGTAGACATGAAAAACATGTTCATTATCATTTGTTGTTCCCAGGGTAATGCAAATCAAAATGACCATGAGCTATAACCTCACACCAGTAAGAGTGACATATCAAAAAACAACTGGAAACAACCAGTGTGGGGATATATGATGTGCAAAGACTTTATTCCATTCATTTTGGGTGGGATGCCTTCTGGCTCTGTCTTTATGGAAAGCATTATTGGAGACCAGCTGTGATTTTTTGCTTATAAGTAAGAGTAAGATAAGTAAGAGTAGCTTCTGGGAGGTCTAGTCTGCCTTTTATTTTATTTTTTTCATTTTTTCATCATCCTGCTATTCGTCGATTGCCTCGAGCAGGCCCCAGTAACGTCTCTTTCATCCTAACCCTGAGACTATATTCAAGGCTCTTTAGGAGAATGAGACCCATCATTGTTACTGGTATTTGGCATATTTGGTACACCACGGGGAGTTTGCCAGACTCTGCCCTGTGGGCAGGCTACATTCGATAGCCTGCAAGTTTGTCTGCCTTTTATTATTGATAAAAATTAACTGAATGGTTGTTATTCAGACTCATGAAAGAATTTGTTCTATTAGCTTAGAGCCAAATTGGTTTTTTAATTTTTATCCACTATTCTGATGATGCCTGGCAAGCTACCCGTGATGTATTTGATATGCCAAACACAGTAACAAGTGTCACAATGGAGACGTTACTGGGTCCACTCGAGCAAATCGATGAACAACGGGAGGACTGTGACCGTGACCGTGATTCTGACGATGGGCTGGAGCAATAGCACAGCGGGTAGGGCATTTACCTTGCACGTGTCCGACCCAGGTTTGGTTCCTCTGCCCCTCTCAGACAGCCCTGCAAGCTACGGAGAGTATCTCACCTGCAAGGCAGAGCCTGGCAAGCTACCCGTGGTGTATTTGATATGCCAAAAACAGTAACAACAAGTCTCACTATTTGTGAGACTTATGTTGTGAGATGTTACTGGTGCCCGCTCCAGCAAATCGATGAACAAGGGGAGCACAGTGCTACAGTGCTATTTCTTTTACCTTTTTTCTTTTACCTTTTTTTAGCAGGCAGGCTTATGGATCTATTAAATAGATGAAATAGGAAAATGAAGCCCTGTTTTGCATAGTTCTAAATATGCAAAGTTTCAAAACAAGTGGTCTTGGTTTATTTTTTTTATCACAATAGTTCTGCTGCCCTCACTATATTAACAGTATTATTTCAACTTATGTCCTATAAAGATTATCCACAGTGGGTGGATAATCTTACTCTTGCCTCAGTTTAATGGATTCTAAGACTCATTTAGGGTCACCTGAAGTCGCTTTCTACTACACAATTTCCTAATGGCATTTTTCATCTGGGAATTTCTCAAGGTATAGATTAAGGGATTTAGCATGGGCGTTATCATAGTATAGAACACAGCAACAGCTTTATCAATAGGCAAAGTAACTGCAGGTCTCATATACACAAAAACACAAGGCACAAAGAATAAGACAACCACCACGATGTGGGAGATGCAAGTAGAGAGAGCCTTGCGCCTTGCCTCCAAGCTGTGGTTCCTTAGGGAGCACAGGATGGAGACATAGGAAGCCATGAGGATAAGAAAATTTAACAGACAGATGAACCCACTGTTGGCCGCAACAAAGAGCCCTAGAGTGTGAGTATCAGTGCAGGCAAGATTAAGTAAGGGACTCAAATCACACATGAAGTGATCAATGACATTTGGCCCACAGAAGGGTAATGGGATGATGAAGAGGAGCTGTATGGTTGCATGAAGTAAACCACCTGTCCAGACCACTCCCATCAGCAGGTTGCAGACCCTCCAGTTCATGATGGTTGTATAGTGCAAAGGTTTGCAGATGGCCACATAGCGGTCATAGGCCATCACAGCCAGCAGGATGACCTCAGACCCTCCAAAGAAGTGTTCCCAAAAGACTTGGGCCATGCACCCACTGAATAGGATGGTTTTCTTTTCACTGAGGGAAGTTATGATCAGTTTGGGAGTACTGACGGAGGAATAGCAGGCATCAATAAAAGAGAGATAGGCCAGGAAATAGTACATGGGTGATCCCAGTAATGGGCTGGCACTGATGGTGACCACAATGAGTACATTTCCTACCACAGTAGAGATGTAGATCATTAGAAACAAAGCAAATACAATTTTCTGCATTTTTGGATTCTCTGTAAGTCCGAGCAGAATAAACTCTGTCACATTGTTGATATTCTCCATGTGTTCCACGTAATGGTTGATTACCTGGAAGGAAATTTTTTACTAATGAAAAAGTTCATTAAGTTTTAAATGTCTTTGCAGCACTGTTCACAATAGACAGAATCTGGAAATGACCGAAGTACCTGAGAACAGATGAATGATTAAAGAAACTTTGGTACATTTACACAATGGAATACTATGCGACTGTTAGGGAATATGAAGTCATAAAATTTGCTTATAAGTGGATGGTCAGGGAGAGTATCATGCTAATTGAAATGAGTCATAAAGAGAGAGACAGATATAGAATGACTGCACTCATTTGTGGAATATAAAATATCATAATATGAGACTAACACACGAGGACAGTAGAGACAAGGGCCAGGAAGATCGCTCCATAGTTGGCAGCCTGCTTTAAGACCTGGGTAAGAAGGCAGAAGGGATCACTAAGTCAATGACAATTGGAGGGATTGCTTGGGATGGGAGATGTGTGCTGAAGGTAGATAAAGGACCAAACGTTATAACCTCCCAGTATCTGTATTGCAAACCATAATACCCATGGGTAGAGAGAAAGAGGGAAATTGTCTGCCATAGAGGCAGGGAAGGGGTCATACAGGGTGGGAAGGGAATACTGGGGACATTGGTGGTGGAAAATGTGCACTGGTGGAGGGTTGGGTGTTCAATAATTGTATGACGGAAACTCAAACATGAAAGCTTTGTAAGTGTAGCTCATGGTGATTCAATAAAAAAGTTTAAATGTCTATTAAGTATTAAATACCTGGATTCTATTGCGTTAACAATTCCCCTGAGAGTTTTATTACTAGATGGTAGAAAACATTACGAATTGTTGAAAATTACAAATTACTTCCCAGCTGAATACTATGTGTATGTTCACATGAAGTATGAACACTCAACATAAAAACTATGAAAACACTCATGAGGAACTTTGGTAAATAACATCATGCGACTTTAATTAGAATATTTAATTGCTAAATAGAAATAGTTGCATAAGCAGCAATATCACAGGATAAAAAGAGACTTTTAAAACTTATTTAAAAACGACGGATGTATAGTTAAGCAATAGTTTTGTAATCTCTAGAAAACACTAATCCTTTAGAGGTTACTGAGAATGTGAATGGAGGAATGAAGAGAAATGTGATAAAAAGCGATCCTTGGATTTTACTCTAGTTAAAGTCATTGTATGTCTTGGAAGAAATGTGTTAGCAGGTAAAAGGTAGATGCAAGAGGTCCAGTAGCAGACTATCAATAGTTGAAGTCAGGAGCCCTGGGCATATTGGATGTGGAGAGGCAAGGTATCTATATCTATATATCAATACCACTGAAGACACTAAATACAGACACAAACTGTAATTATTAAATCTAAGGCAGACTGGGAGTGGGATGGAAGGAGGGAACTGGGGACATTTGTGGTAGAAAATGTATACTGGTGAAAGGAAGAATATCGGAACATTGTATGATTGAAACCCAATTATGGACAACTTTGTAACTGTTTATCTCATGGTGATTTAATTAAAAGATGTGTCTATTAAAGCGGCAGGGTGGGGGTTGAAATGAAACTGGGGACATTGGTGGATGGATGTCGATGCTGGTGGTGGGATTAAAGTTGGAACAATGAATTTCAAAGACTCTATTATTGAGAACTTTGTTAATCATGCTATCTACATAGTAATAAAAGGAAGAGCAATCAGGCAAAGAATATAAGGAATATAAGACACAAAATCTTCTTAAAAGTGGTATAATGAATGCATGCTTCCTAATATTAATGACTTAATAATGACTCTAACATATATTTTTAAATGATTTATTTCTAAGTCTATTGTATAGGAACAAATGCTTTTCATATTTGGCTCTTTTTCAAATTGGTATGAACTCTTTGATTAGTATATAATCTACTTTTTAGATTAGAAAACATTGAATTAATGTTAATAATTATAATGATATTATGTGAGCAGAGAAAAAGGGAGAAAGTCAAGATTAGGCTATTCTCATTTTTATCTCCAAATACCTAGTTTATACTGAATAGTAATAATAAACAATATTAAATTAGGAATATATTTTGTATATAACTGATAATTATAGTACTATTTTGGAGGCAACTGGAGAAATCTTGTCAGAAGACAAACTTGTATGTAATAAATCTATACATATACATACACAATGACAACTTTAAACTGCTAAATAGTAAAATGGCATTTATTGAATGATCTTTTAATTATCCCCTCTCCCATAGAACATTTCCCCATCTGCAAAACCAGTTAAAAAAAACCTAGGTCCCCAGATTAAAAAATGTTGAAATAGACTGTTCAAAATGTTTAAATATATTAATTTGAGAATTCGAAGTGAATCAGTGATAGATTTTGGCACTTTGGTTAGTGGTAGAGGTATATTAACTCTGCTCATCAAAGCATAAATGCTAACACTATTGCAACTACATTGCCTCAACTACAATAAAAACAGCAAACTCAGTTGTTCTGTGATTAGTTGAGGGAACACATACATAAAGATATTCATCACAGTCTCTGGACACAAAGATGATTTTCATTTGTTTTTATGACTAGACATATTAGTGTGATATGAAGAATAAAAAGGTTGAATCTAGTAACTTTTAATAATAATACTAACAGAAAAATATCTAATTAGTTAAAAGGCTCATGAAGGATCATCACCCATTTTATTCTCAAAGAGGGAGCAGATTCATAATTCTGAGCAGTTTTTCTTTGGTAGGGTTCTCCATGCGTGTGCTCGGATGAAATAGCAGATTTTTTAAATGCCAGTTAATAAAAATATGTTTTCTTCTGTGTATGTGAAGTAAAGTCAAACTTCATTTTTATCCTCTCTTAAATAAGAGATGTTTGATGGTAAGGTGTTTAATGGAAAATATGGTGTCATTGACAAAGAGATGGAATAATCCTCCAATTATCTGAATCACTATGAAACTTAAAAATTTTAGTTGTCACATTTAGATAGTGATGCTTATGTACTTAACTTCTGAAAATTTATATTGAGAGTTAAATATACTATGTCTCCATAAAAATATTAAAGATAATCAATGTGTATACGAACCTTTAATACAAATTATAGGTATTGCAAACTTGCCTTAGCTGTTTTAGATGATCTTGATATTTAGTGGTGCTCAGAACTAATCTCATCTTCCAACTGATTGCATTTGTAGTAAGTAGCATTAAATAAGTCATCCTTGGGAAGAACCTGTTGAGATAATTCACAAATAAATGAGCATTTGTTAAAAAAAATTGATGCATTCAACATGTACAATGAAAACTCATTCTAAGTGCATAAACCCTCATAAAAGAAAATGTTCTTACGGGTCCAAGTATTTTTGTCTAACCTCTTGACACAAGACATTTTTTCATAGAAAGCCTCTGTAGCGCCTGTTTTCAGATTTTAGTAGGAATGGATTCACTTGAAGCAACCTGTAGACACTGGCTCGTCAATATGACTCTGTTCCTGCAGGGCAAAAGACGCTGGAAGCATAATCAAGTGATTCCCTTTGCTCTTCATGTGTCCTGCTCTCTCGAGAGCTGAATGGTAACTAGGAGTAATTTCACCTTGACCTTTACGGGTTTTCATAAAGTTTGGGGATCTGGCCTTATTGCAGCTGTTTTCTCTCCCAGGAATTAATTATTTCTTTTTTTCAGAAAGGCTTTGTCTTGGAGGTAGATATTCTGGGGAGACAGGTTTTGCCCAAAAGTAGAGAGAGAGTCTGGGGAATATTGTCGGCCATGGAGGCAGGGGGAGGGTGGGAAAGGGGGCATATACCGGAGATACTGGTGGTGGGGAATGTACACTGGTGGAGGGATGGTGTTTGATTATTGTGTGATTGTAACCCAAACATGAAAGCTTGTAACTATCACACAGCGATTAAATAAAAAAAATTTTTAAAAAAAGAAATAGCTACTTTTGATAAGGAAATTGTATACGTTGCCTTTAGAACGCAGACATGGGACAGTCCCCTTTCTCTTTTGAATTTGGATTTTTAGGAAAGAGATTGTCAGGCATCAGTCATCCTGCCAGAGTGTGGGCATTTGGTGGGATATAGTTTCCCCAAGAAATCACCTCACAGAATTTCTATTTCTGATTGATATACAGAAATATTGCAATAAATTACATAAAAGCCACAATAGTGAGAGCATCCAATTATTAAATGCCACATTACAGTTCTTCATTCTAAATGCTATTTCTCATCACTCCTCAGCAAGATTTATTGATGTATAGGATCAGGTAAAGTTACATTAATATACATAATTTGATGTTTTGATTTAAGAATATTTTCTGATATAGGTATACTTAGTGCTCTAATCAATCTATTTAACATATTAGTCAAGTACAAACTTACTATTTTTTATTGCCAGAACACTCTATGTATCCTCTGAAAATTTCTAGTATAGAATACAAAATATTTTTTTAAAATGACATTACTACTTAATAAATTTCCAGAAACCATTCATCTTGCATTATGAAAGTTTATATGCCTTTTTAGTATTTTAACTTTAAAATGTTTTTATTGTAGTTGAGATAACATGGTTACAGCGCTTTCATTTTTCATGCTTTTGCTATACATACCTTCTGTACCTTCTCCCAAACCCAAATACCAAAGACCTTACACCACCACTGTTGTATTACATCCAGTTTGCCTATTATTCCTGCCAAATCTTATGCCACATGAAGTTTAATAATTTTAGTTTTGTAGTCAAAGTTCAAGAGTTTGTTTTTATTAGATGTCACCCATTTCTTTGCCTACTGTTTTAATTGTTTTATATTTGCAGTGTTGCTACACCAGGCTCACCCCAGAGTGCTAGGATCTTTCCACCACTATTATAAATTTCCTTCCCTCCCCTCCTCCCCTTTAATATTTTCAGATCACATTTCTTTTGGGTATTTTCACCGGGGATGGAGGAAGCATGAAGCAGAGTGGAAGAGAAAAGAGAATAGCAAATCAGCACGGGATTTAAAATGCCTTCCTAAGGCTTGAGGATGCTGAGTGCAAA